AGTCTCCCCCGAAGACACCACATCCCTGCCCTGTTGGGCTCTGTGAGGCAGCCCCTGTCTTTACCACAAGGTCCTCTTATTCTGTTTGAGCTAGCTTGAGTCAGATGTTGCTTGTAACCAAATACTAAGCACAATGGTTAGTGCACCATTAGAAAAAAAAAAGAAACAACAAAATGTCTGATGATAGAAGACAAGTTACATAAAATTATGACACCTTCATGAGAAAGACTATTAGGCAGTCCATCAAAAAAATCGCATTATTGGAGTTTATGTTATCATGCAAAAACAATAAAATGTTATGCTAAAAAATAAGCCCATAGATAAAATATAATCTCAATTTTAAAAATATATCTATTCACACAAGAAAAAAGACTGAAAAGACATGTGCTCAAGTTTAAACAGTCCTTTCCAGGATATGATGTTATGGGGGATGTTTATTTTCTTTTTTATGCATTTGAGTATTTTCTCCCATGACATTATGCCTTCTAGAAGCAAGATAGGGAAAGGCATTGGACAGAATGAGAGGGACTAGAATTTGGCATCCACCAGACATTGTTCTAAGAACCAGAGCCAGGACCAGGGTTGGGAAGTTGAGGTTCTCACCTGGGGTGTAAAATTTAAGGGTGCCAAAAATTCAGTCATCAAGAAAATACATTAACGCAATGTTTTTTAAAAATTAAAATTAATGCAAACAATCCATCATAAACAAAATTCAAAATTTTAAATAAAGAGAGGATCAATACCACGGATTTTTCCTTTTGCCTCAGATTTCAATATGGCCCAGGAGGGAAGAGTGAAGAAACTTTATGCATTAGTTCTCTCCAGCCTTCAACAATCTTATGACATAGGGTCCAATTTTCACCGTATCCATTTGACAGATATGAAGCTGAGGCCTAGAGAGACTAGGTGCCTAAGATCACACAGCTAACAAGTGAGAAAGTCAGGATTTAGACCCAGGTGGTCTAGCAGCACAACCCAAACACTTAGCTATTTCCCTGTACAGCCAGCTCCTGTTGGAATGTGTTCACTTCCAAGGAGACAGGAAGCCTTCATCAATTTCTCCTAGTTCCTGGGCCCCAAAGGCAGGTATTTCTTACTTTTACCAAGGGCTGATTATCAGCTCTAGAGTTCAGGTCCCCATAAGAGTGAAGAAATCCAGGGCCAGGAAACCCTGTGCTGTCCGTAGGCACAGAATGAGTGGAGACCATGGATGAATAAAAGGAGAAGGCTCTGGAGGAAGTCGCCTGTCTGTCTCCAGGGGACAGTCACTGCCCCACTGCCCCACCCCGCTTCTGGAGGACTCTTCACAGTGCAAGACCTGTGGCTTGGTCAGGGAGACTCAGAAACTCAAAGTCACACACTCTGTGTTTTCCTGTTGATGCACATTTGGGTGGCTGCCACTTCACATCAGCAGGCTGGCGCAGCACATGGTGGAAAGGACCAAACACACACCTTTCTATCCATCTGCAGGCTATTTTTAAGGTGTCGCCCTGTATGTGATGGACTGCATGTGTTGCAGTTTAAATCCTGGCTCCAACAAATACCTCACAAGCACAAACTGATTAGTAAAATATATATTCAAATCCCAGGTCTGAGGTCATTTGATAAATGATACTCAGAACTGAACAATTATGTTAAATTATGACAAAATAATTGGCTGATCTGTGGAGCTGGGTGTGTTGGTTCTTCCCTCAACAGCTATGAATCAGAGATCTATTGTGTCATAGATGCAGTGGGGAGCACAAAAGGAATACAAAAAACAGTTTCTACCATCGAAAGGGAGGTTTATTAGTACCCTTGGCTATAGTCCAGAATGCTCTGGCTCTTCTAAAACAAAGCCTTTGATAAAAATCCACTACTATAATAAAAATGACAATCATGAAAAGAAAACAAACGATCAAAATCACTAGAGGCAACCTCAGGAACCAACAAACACAGAAAACAAACAGCAAAACAGAAAGCAAGGAACAAATATCACTTAAGAAAACCAAAAAAATAATTAAATGCTAGGAATAAAGCAACACCTCTCAATAACAACCCTTAATGTCAAGGGTTTAAATTCACCAATCAAAAGACACAGATTGGCTGACTGGATAAGAAAGATCGACCCAACTATATGCTGCCTACAAGAGACTCACCTCACCCATAAAGACTCACATAGATTAAGAGTGAAAGGATGGAAAAAGATCTTCCAAGCAAACAGAAAAGAAAAACGAGCTGGAGTAGCTATACTAATATCAGACAAAATAGACTTTAAACTAAAAACCATAAAAAGAGACAATGAGGGTCACTACATAATGATAAAAGGACTGATACATCAAGAAGACATAACAATCATAAATATGTATGAACCCAATGTTGGAGCACCCAGATTTATAAAACAAACTCTATTAGAACTAAAAAAGGAAATAGACACTAATACTATAACAGCAGGGGACCTGAACACCCCACTCTCAATATTGGACAGATCAACCAGGCAAAGAATTAGCAGAGAAACACAAGAACTTAACAAAACTTTAGACCAATTGGACATGGCAGATATCTACAGAACATTCCATCCAACAAACTCAGAATATTCATTCTTCTCATCAGCACATGGATCATTCTCCAGGATAGACCACATATTAGGACACAAATCAAGTCTCAACAAATTCAAAAAAATTGGAATTATCCCATGTATTTTCTCAGACCACAATGGATTAAAACTAGAAATCAATAATAAACAAAACACTGGAAAGTATACAAACACATGGAAATTAAACAGCATTCTACTTAACGATACATGGGTCCAAGAAGAAATCAAACAGGAAATAAAAAAATTTATTGAAACTAATGAAAATAATGATACATCATACCAAAACTTGTGGGATACAGCAAAGGCAGTACTAAGGGGGAAATTTATTGCATTAAACGCCTACCTCAGAAAAATGGAAGGCTGGCAAGTGAACAATCTAATAATGCACCTTAAAGAACTAGAAAAACAAGAACAATCCAAACCTAAAGTTAGCAGAAGGAAAGAAATCATCAAGATCAGAGCAGAACTTAACGAAATTGAAAACCAAAAAACAATACAAAAGATCAACAAATCAAAAAGTTGGTTTTTTGAAAAGATAAACAAAATCGACAAACCACTTGCATGGCTAACAAAAAAAAGAAGAGAGAAGATTCAAATAACAAAAATTAGAAATGAAAAAGGTGATATTACAACTGACCCAAATGAAATACAACGAATCATCCGAGACTACTATAAACAGCTATACGCCAACAAGTTCGAAAACCTGGAGGAAATGGATAAATTCCTGGACTCACACAAGCTTCCAAAATTAAACCAAGAAGATATAGAAAACCTGAACAGACCAATAACAATAAAGGAGACTGAAGCTGTTATCAGAAAGCTCCCAACAAAGAAAACCCCGGGACCAGATATTCCATTGATC